AGTTAAAAATTTTAATTATTCAGAGCGAATCTCTTACACAAAGAAGGCTGTATTCTGCTATATTTATCTGACGCAACTGTAGTCATCCAAGTTTCTAAGGAACCTAACACTGAAATACTGAAATTTTCGTAGGATTTTGTTCGAAGTATAGATTGGAAAAAAAAAACCAAAGAGCAAAACTTGCTGCGAAATTTTACAAGAGCGCTGTGTCTTAGTCTACTCCTCAGCAGGTGACTTTATGTTTTCTTTACCATATTATACATAAAACATAACAGAAACCCCATTAGTGCCTTAGTTAATTTAAATTAAATCAATCATATTAAAAGAAAATCGTGATAATCATGCGTTAAATATACAAAAAAATCAATGTGCTCTAATTCCAGATCGCGTTTGCTTTCAAATGATAATGTATGTGACACTAATCGCCCTATTAATTGATGATAAATTTGCCTCGGCTATGACGTCACTTTGGTTATCTCACGTGGGCAACAGGATTTATTTATGACATTAATCTGATCGCAATGGTGATATAAATTTGTTGTGATAATTGAATATGATACCTATTGATGAATATAATTTAACTACAGTATTAAATAATGCACTAAAGTTATGAGCATAAGTTATTTTTAACCGACTTCAAGAAGGAGGAGGTTATCAATTTGGATGTTTATATTTATTTTTATGTATATCCGCCATGGGCATAACTCCGTCATATATAGACGGATTTTCAAAATTATTTTTTTGTTCGAAAGGGGTTTATTTCGAAATGATCCCATTTAAATTTCATATAGATCTGATGACAGACAACGGGACACTTCAAAAAACTGACAGCAAATCAACCGCGACCGTTGCTAGTTTGAAGTCGGTTCAACTTTTTTTAAAAGGTTTTATTTAAACACGTTTGTAGTGATACCACGGCCTCACAGGATTGTTTTGGTTGCTTTTCACCGAGTGAGTTAGGTTATCGAAGCCCAAAATTCTAGCTGGAGTGGACACCTAAAAGACGGAACCACACACAAGTGTGTTCCCGTCCTTAAATTGTAACTCAGGATTCAACTCTCGAGATGCATCTGTGCATCGGCGCCGGTTGTAACTTCCATCAGGTGACCTATCTGCTTGTTTGCCCCCCTATGTCATAAAAATAAATCCTTAACAACATTTTAAACAGCCAGAAAGCGTTTACTCATTTGAATTTCTTGTCAGAAAACTTTTTGGACACTTAATTTGTAAACAAACATGTAAGTAATGTTTTGCTTAATAAATATATATATATAAATATATACATAAATTATTCATTGAAGTTTATAATCACATTCGGAATCTAAATCAAAAGATATAATCTTAAATGAAAAAATCTGATTAGATCAGTAGTAGCAATTTTGATCGTTAATGAACTAAATTACTTTGATTTAATGAAATCTACCAAACTTTTATTGATATAAATATGATAAGTTACGGTATATGAGCTGACCATTAAAGAAAATATCATTAAAATTTGAAATCTTAAGATTATTGATTACTTTTAAACGTTTCAGGTCTCGTCTTTTAAGTTTTATCTGCTAATCTTTTAATACGAGTACATGAAAAAAAAAACGATATTTTTGGCGACAGTTTCCTTTTTTTTTTTTCTTAATATGCAACTGTATTAGTTTCTTATACCAAAGAAAACATATTTAAAATCGTCGAATACATCGAATCGAAGTCGGAATAATTTATATGCAGAAGAACATTGCTACTTCCCGCATCAATTTAATGCTCTGTACCTACATCCAGTTTTCCCTACAACTTCTCCAACTAAAATGGGAAAAAACTGAGAAGAAATCTTATTCCAGTATTTGTGTTCTAAGACCAGAACGAACCACGTACTTTAATTATAACTAAAGCTGTAGGGAAAGGTAGCTTTGAAAACAAAAGAAATGTACCGGAAGAAATCATGTTTAAGTAAAGCGGTAATAAAACTAATTAAAGTAAGTTGAATAGAATGACTAGATGGATTCGAAGAAAATTTAATATAATAATATTGTACTACATTCACACAACGCCATCGAGTCCCAAACTAAGCAGAGCTTGTACTATGGGTACTAGACAACTGATCTAAATACATATATACTTATTTTTTTGGAAATACATAGTTCATGCACACAAATGTTCGACTTGAGCGGGAATAGAACCCGCGACCTTTGGAATATCAGTCCATTACATTTAGATAAATAGATGGTAAAATTGTTATTCAAAATATGCCATTTCCTTTAAAATGTATATGTACTCCTACTCGTATATACGTTTATACGAGCTCAAATATATTTGGGAAAAAGGTAATATATTTGAGGTCGACGCATTAAGTTTGCTTCTTCTATCACTCGACAGTTTACTGCTTACTTCCTATCTAACCATATCTTCTTTTACACAGTCCATCCATCTTTTCTTTGAGCGTCCTCTTCTCTGATATCCGTCAACTTCCATACATAAAACTTTCTTGACTATAGTCAGTAATTCTTCTTTCGTGTTACACCACTGGTTCAAACTTCAGGAATTAATTATATACGCAATCAATTCTTGCTGGTGTGGGATATACGATGTATAGGATTGATAGTTTGTGTTTCATTGAACCTTCTGAGAATGTTAGACCTTGTCGACGATATGCTGGCAAATTTTGGAAAGTTTGTTTAAACTTTTTTCACAAGCCTCAACCAAAAAGAACTAGACATAGGCAGTTTTAGGGTGCTGATGGGGTTGCCACGTTACTGTAGTGCTTCAGGGATGTTTGCAGAAGCCCGCGTGGATTGCTTTTATACAGTAATGAGTAAGAGATGCGCGTCCCTAGTACGCAGGGTGCAGGGCAGCACCAACAGCATTCTAAAAATTACCTCTATCCTCGGTTGCGCGATCGTTAACCGGTGTTGCAGGCTTTCTGCTGGACTTGCAGCATAATACCTATCTATGGGCCATGTTAGGTATCGGTTCATCTCATTGTGTTCGTTTTGTTTTTTTATTTATTTATTATTTACTAACATATTTATAAGTCATATTTTAACTAATACTATGAGTTTTGTTGTGAATAAATAAAAACTAAAATAAATAAATAGAAACACATTGTCAGGTAAGGTATTATATATTACCCATATTTTTTATGCTTTAACATCTGACAAAGCAACTTTCTTTCTTCTTGAGATGCAAGTTGTGTTAATTTTTATTATTTTTAAGTTTTAACAGAATTAAATTTTAGTTAATTTTAAATTAATAATTTAACGTACTGCTACTTTAGATTCTAAGAATTTATCAGCTCTTCAATCTGAAAAAAGTCAAGGTTAACCCTTTAAAGCATTACTTTTGTCATGCATGTCAGAAATTAGTAGCAAAGAGTAATTTTCCATAGTTCTATTTAAGAATTATCGTGACGACTATATACGCAAGTCGTTATATCACAGTATGTGTTATAACTCTCATTACCGAGCGCAAATTACTGTTTACAGAATGATTAGCAATTAACCAAGTGCGAGTATTCCTAAACAGTGTAAGGTGCTGTCGTAATAATATTTGTTTGATAATTGACATCGGGTTGTTTTTACTTTCTGTAACCACAAACAGACGGTTTTATTGCGAGGACATCATGATGAGTTGTATTAAACCGCATTCTTCAGTTTTTGCAGTTAGGGGTGGTATTTTTAATTCAAGTTTAATTGGGACTATACGAGAACTATATTTAGATTTAGATGAAATGTATAGGGATAGTTTGAGTGCTGGGAAAGAGCATAGTATATTTTTTATTCAAGAAATCACCTCTAAGGGAGTGAAAGGGAAGTGGAAGTTTGTATGGGGAATAACCGACTGCCTCGGTGTTGAAGCGGTGGCGTATGTGACTGCTGTGCTGAGGTCTTGAGTTTGGGTGTTTTCTATGTATAATATGTCAATCGGTCAATCGTTCTTTCATAGTACAAGCTCTGCTTAGTTTGAAACTAGATGGCGTTGTCTGTCAGATGTCCGGCATATTTTTATTATATTATTAAATATTAACTACTGAACCGATTAGGATGAAATTTGGTATAAAGATAGTGATTGATTATTGAGGAAGGACATAGGTTACTTTTTACCGCGATAACCGATATTATCGCGAAGCCGCGGGCGTAGGCTGGTTTACTATATTTTATTTAAACTATGGGGTTCCAATATATATATATATATATATCATCAACAGCCTATACTAGTCCACTGCTGGACATAGGCCTCTCCTTAGAAGGGAGGTTTTGGCTGGTATAGGGTTTGTTTCAAGTTTTCCTTCTCTTTGCAGTGCTGTTGTCCTGCTTAGTTTGCTCCCTTAGTCGGCTCTTACGACACCCACGGGATGAATTGGGGTGGTGACAATTTGTATTCTTAATCCGTCACCACACGGACTCATATATATATATATATATATAATAAGGCATACTAGTTACGTGACATGTCAATTCTGTCAGATATGAAAGATTGACATATTAAAAAATGTTGCCTTTATTAAACCTTACTTGATTTTTAGTTTCTTTGTGTATGTTGCTATTTAACTTATGTTTTATTTTTGTATGCTACGCTTCATTAAATAAATAATATTCTATACTATTCTACTCTTACCGCAGGCAGTGCAAACGTCAGACAATTAAAGTTATACAGAGCTATCGTGAACACAATTCCCGTGATACACAGCTTTACTAAAAATAAACAAGAATTCATTAATGTGGCACATCAATTGAGACTAAAACTCAGTTATAACCAGCTTACAATAAATATAATAATCAGAAATATTCTAGTAATTCATTAAGATTAAACGTTAACTTCCTATTGATATAAGTTTTAATTTCAAAGTCATATGAACGGTTATTAAATTTGTTTGAAGGTTTCTTGTTTGATTAGGGAATCCTTTCTAGGAAATGTGTAGTAGATTATTGTGTAGGAGATTGGTAAACGAGAAGGTTTCTAGACGTGTATTCAGTTTATGAAATCCATATTCTTCCAAAAAAACGCTGAAAATGATTAGAAAATGGACAATATTATTTATCTGGGTGAGTATATTTTGAAATCACTTCTGAAGATAGTTTCGAGATTGTCGGCTGTGGCGAGTCCTACATACAAAGAAGTAGAAACATACTATAGTGCCATCTAGCGAAGATACACCGAACTACGGAGTAACTCTTAAATGAGAATTGCTAATCCTGTATCGCGATATGAAGAATTCTCTCATCGATTCGCATATATACAACTTCTAAAAAATACCCTATAAAAATTTATTTCGTTCAAAACTAAAGTGATAGTGACCTATTCAAGGCTTCTCTTGAATAGGTTACTATCATTAATTGTTATCACTTCACGATGAAAACTAATTAATTCTATTCTTCATTTTTTATTTTTCCATTGCTATGTGTTTGATAATTGAATGCGGTCAAACAGAAAGTATACCCGTAAATTAAACCGTAAATTAAAGAATAATTCAAATTATTTCATTGAATCGAATTTCATTCAATAGAATCGAATTAAGAGTCCCCTGTGCGCTTTTCTAAACACCTTTTGCCTCGCACTACCAACCTGGGGAACAAGTTATTGGCTGCGGTATTTCCGGACCGATATGACACTTAAACCATCAAGAAAAGAGCGTACTCCTTCCTCAAAGGCTGGCAACGCGCTTGTGACTCCTGAGGTGTTCATGGGCGGCGGTAATCGCTTTCCATCAGGTGACCGGTCTGCTCGTTTGCCCCTATTTCATAAAAAAAGCAACAATTATTCATCTTATCACGCACGGCCATTTAATTGTCTGAAATTAGTAGAATTTGTCTATAAATCCTCAACCTTGGTGTTTATTCTTGTATCCAGACATTTATATTCAAACTAGAGTCTTTGGATTTCTGTAAGGTTGTTCCCATATATCTCTGACCGTTATATACCTGGTAAAAACATCATATTGTACCGTTTGGCCCGACGACTTGAAGAAAGTGGATGGCAGCGGATGGATTCTGACTGCCCAAGACCGGGGTCTTGGGCAGTTAGCTCCTTAGGGGAGGTCTTCGTTGAGGAGCCACTATAGGCTGATGATAACAGACCTTAAAAAGAGCACGACCCCTGTGTCTCAAAAACATTAATTTATGCATTTCTTCATTTCAGGTAATTACTAATATTTTTCATTCAACGGTGTCACTAATGACAACGAGAAACCAGCATGTTACTGCGTGGGTTACTTTTATGGATTTATTAAGTACAATTGTTACGCAAACCAAGGGTATAGTCACGAAACTAGGAAACGACATGGAAATGAACTTTTACAAATCGGGGCCATATTCCAGAATGCTGTCTTGGTCTATCCAAGATTTTAAGCAAAGCAAATAGGCTTATTTATAATCAGTTAATAACTGAATCATTAAAAATATAAATTGCATACTACGATATTTAAATAAAATATGTATCTATACATTTGTAAATTATTTCAACATCACATCAACCGGACAGAGGCCTCTCCTTAGAAAGGGGGTTTTGGCCTACTATACCACGATGGCCAGATGGGTTGGTATATACCCACGGGATAAATAGGAGTGGTGACACTCCGTATTATTAATTCGTCACCACACGGTATTAATCCGTCACCACACGGTACACACAGTAAGGTTACTGGAGCCCAAACTCCCCCTGCTCCTGATTGTAAAAGAGGGACTCAAAGGGCAACAAGACACTTGTGACTCCTGGACTCCTTGCAGGTGTTTGGGATAAACTAGCTTAAACTTTAACACGAGCAAAGCCACGAGTAAAAGTTATAATGATTTACGAGTGCATTATATTTTACTCAAGTACCCCAACGTTAAAGATGTCGCAGATGCGGAAGAAAACTACATAGTTACTTCGTAAAGCTCATCACAGATATAACCAGGAAGTTCACGTTGTTTAGAGAATGGCGTTACACATTTCAGCCCATGTTTACATTACACCGGCTTTAAACAGAAATAACTCCAGTTTCTCTGTTTACAAAAGATTTCTTAACGTACGTTCTACCTTTTTTTGTTGTTGATACAATATTTGATTGACGAAAAAGAATGAGTTTTTTTTGATATGTCAGTTGTACATACTGGATTTTGCTCGCGGCCTTTTTTTTGTTTATTTAGATTTCGTTACAGATGTTGCAATATTATTTTTCTATTGTTTGCATGAAATTGAGGAGACTTTTTGATGAGGTATGAATATTGTATCTTTATCTGTAAAAAACTTTCTGTATTATAAATAATTAGTATTATTATTATTTTAAAAAACGACTGCTCGCATTAGGAATATATCCTGTGTCGCAGGGGACCTTACAAACATACATCAAACGGCCACAAAGAACACCCAGACTCAGAACAACAATTTGTGGATCACACAAGTGTCGTCCCATGTGGGGATCGGACCCACAACACTCGAACTTGGCGAACACTTAAACCACTACGCCATCCGTGCAGTTAGGTTTTTAAACACAATAGAGAAACCATGTTATGTTAAACATAATAGCAATTCTTTAAATACTTGAACACTATTTTTACCATAATATTGTGAAACGGCGATAATTTTTCACATCTACACAAAGCAACCATTTAGACAGTAGTTTGTTTAAGTTAAATTATTTAAAAATCCATGTTTTATGTGGTGGTGGTTTTTGGTGGAAACACCACATACTTCCTGGCTCCTGGGTCCCCGAAAAGATTCCACTCCTTAAAAAAAGGTATCTTTTGGTACCATTATTATTATAAACGAAACATTTTGTGAGTGTAGCATGTATAATTGTTGCTTAATTAATCTGGATGAAATTTGGAACAGAGATAGATAGCGTCTGGAATAACTTTTTAAGAAGGAGAAATTAATTAAAGAATCGAAGTCGAAGGTATTCTATAGTAAGTATTATAAATATACCATTTAAATTATACTATGTGTTTTGGTCATATTTAAAAACTTGTTCTTAAAATAAAATATTTCCAAACCATACGAACTGGTTCTTAAATGATTCCAAAGATGACCTCTTCGCCATTAATCAACACGTAATGTTATTATTGCCTGATTCTTTACAAAAAATAGTCCCTACTAGGTGCTGGTTTTAATACAACATGATAAATAACAATTTTATTGAATCCGTTTTTCCTTCTTCTTCTTAAAGTGTCATCTTCGTTTCGAAGGTTGACAGTCATCAAGGCTATTAGAGTTTTTGATAATGTGGATCAGGGGACCTAGTGCGAGTTTAATTTACATTAACTTGCCCTTGGTGAAGAGTTCAGAGGTCTTATTTCATATCTATTCGATCGTCACCTGCGTTAAACTCTTCACGAGGCTCTCAGTGCGGGCCAATCGCAACGGCAAACGCGGTTACCGTTACGATCGAGTTGAAGTGAAATAAACTCGCACTAAGACCTCAGAACTTTTCACCAAGAGCAAGTTAATGTGAAATAAGCTCGCACTAGGTAACCCACATTATCAGAAACTCGAATAGCGTCGATGACTGTCAACCTTCAGAAAGAAGATGGCACTTTAAGTTTAAGTTTCATATCCAGGAATGTTATATTGGGAAGAATCCCACGCTTTATTTTTTCTTGAATTTTCCTGGTATTATAAGCTAAAATAGCTTATATTTATCTTTACACATTATTTTTTTCTTTAAGTTTACGCTGTATGGTACGCGAAATATTTGCCATTTTTTAAATCACATTGGTTATATTCAAGATTGATTCTAATCAAAGAACATAGTACAACTCTAAAAATAAAAAAGTGACGAAGATTATAGCTTATTATAACTTAACGTGATTTAGGCGCATTGAAATTGATAGTTTCACCTTGTTAGCAAAAAGGTTAAATTAATAATCAATAGAAAATGGAGTAACTCACGACTGTTATTTCCGTTTGATTATTTGTTTGCGCTAATCTGTTAAACTATCTGACAGATATAAATAATCCTTTTTTACTGAATATTTTTTTTATTTAAAAGGCTATGTTACACATATGTAATTGAAGATTGTCGCCTGGTTTTTGCCAAAGTCTATATTAACGTAAGCAAAGCAGCGTGTAAAACCTAGTTTATTATGAGGAGGTGTTATATTTTATTTTATCACATACCATTACCTACCGAAAAATAAGCAAAGAAAAATTCTCAGATTGAGGAAAAACGTTACTTTCTGTAAGTAAAGCGTTCTGCTCATGTACCAAATGCGAATACTTTACAAATATTGCATATAATAAATATTTAAGATGGCTTTGGATAGCGTTGATAAAAAATCGTGTCAAAGCACGCGTTAAGGGTATAAAGGCGATAATTCTCCAAAAATCTTTTCTCTTTATGAAAGAATAAAAATAATGTATTTCCAAACACCTAGACGAATTTTTAAATTAACTTCTTTTATAATATAACGCGACCACGTGCCGCAAGACGGAGCGTGGGCAGGCCTCTTACAAAGTGGTCCGACGACCTGGGTAAGGTCGCGGGAAGCCGTTGGTTGCGAGCAGCAAGGACCGGTTGTTGCTGAGAGCCTTGGGGGAGGCCTATGTCCAGCAATGGACGCCTTTCGGCTGAGATAATGATGATGATGATGGTATAAAGAGGCAAACTCAGGAGTCACAAGTGTCTTGATGCCCTTTGAATCCCTCTCCTAGAGTCAGGAGCAGGAGGAGTTTGGGCGCCAGTAATCTCACTATACCGTGTGGTGAGAAATTAAGAATACACAGTGTCACTACTCCTATTCATCCCTTGGGTGTCGTAAGAGTCGATTACTGGACTAGATTTCACCGTGGGAGAGTAATGTTTTGACACAAATGGGCCAATTCGACCGGAGTGATACCACAGCCTCATAAATAACCGGTGTTAAGCAAGTCTTTCGTTGCTTTTCACCGAGTAAGTGAGGTTCATTATCATCATCAACAGCCTTTATTCGCATAGGCCTCTCCTTAGAAAGTAGGTTTTGGCCTACTATACCACGCTGACCAGACGGGTTGGTATAGGGTTTGTTTAAAGCTTTCCTTCTCTTAGCATTGCTGTTGTCCTACGTAGTTTGTACCCTCAGTCGGCTCTTGCGACACCCACAGGATGAATGGGGGTGGTCACACTCCGTATTCTTAATTCGTCACCACACGGATATCATTAGTCATATTGACATTTAGTTTTAATTGTTTAAATTAAAAAAAAAATGATTTTTGTTAATGGATTGGAATTCTTATTTCAGAATGTTTATTTAAAGGCAAATCTGTTAATTTAATCAATGACAATGATGTTGACGAAGTTTTTTAATGTATATTATATAACATTAAAGTCTTGAGATACGACATACAGACATTCCCATTTTACTGGATTTTTGTTAAATTTATTTGCCTACTATTTGACAAAACAGAGATTGTTGCTTTTGTGCGAGTTGATCTATGACTTTAGAGTCTACATAAAAGACGATTTCAAACAATTTAAAAAAAAAAATGAAATAAAGAGAGTTTGAGTGTACTTCGTATGTAAATCATTTCAAAATTATAAATCTAGATTATAATTTAAGGAAGGCTAATGAGTTTTTGTTTTAAATTTTTTGTTTGTGTTAACGCTCCTATGACTGTAACTATTGGAAATTTTGTTCTTGATAGCGTTCATTAAGGAATTAATTTTAAATTACCGCTTTTATACAAATGATATGTTTAAATGGGGATTTAATCGCCATAATAATTACAAGGTACACACTTATTTTGGTAACCAACGTTTTAATCAAGGTACAATGTTCATGTTCACTGTGTGTACTGGGTTTGAGAAATTTTTGAAAGTTATAAGCTATGCTCGGTAACATTATGACGCATAGGATCAACAGTGACTGATTTCTTTATACGAGAAAGAAACTACACCACCCGAATGTCATACAGTATTAAAGTTTTGAACAAATGTTCACACCATAGTTCACTTGCAACGGCGTATATAAGTTGTGTCCACATTTACATTCTAACCTCCCAAGCCGTTAGACCGGAGGCGAGATTATGACAAATTGCCATACCACGGTTTATCCGATCGTTGGTTACGAAACCTGCGTAGGCCACAATGGGAAATAATCTGACCCCACGAGTCATAGTGTATGGGTTATGGCACCAATGAACATTATATTTTAGTAGAGTTTTTGTCAAATAAAAATTGTAATGCATTCGTTTTTTGGTACAGAAGTCGTTTAACAAGGTCGAGTTTTATGTTCGGTAATACAGAATTTAAAGCTTTTGTTGTGGGTAAATTTCATAATCGGTATTGTTGAAGCAATACTTTAAAATTGGTACAGATTATATTACAACTATGTATTTATTTTAACCATTTATACGATTTTTAAGCTATTATAACATATTTATGTTGCTATTTTTTGATGATGGTG